TTTGCATCTCATTTAATGACCCACTGTCGCCCAATCAGGGTTAGTCCTGGTTTAATACAAGAAAATAAACGGCAGCGTAATGTTCCTGGTTCGTCCATCATCCTTTATTCAGTATTCATAATGCAGTCGACACCTTGAAATAACGCATTCCACAAGGTAAATTGAACACAAAGCAAATTGATATAACAAGTCACAGATCAATTATCCATATTCACATTCTGAGTATTCTTCACCAGTAATCTTGTGACTTGTAACTATCAATACATAGATCTACGTACAATGTGAATGAATGAAAATATATCACTACATCATTCATTCTGTTTCTAAACGTGTGTGTGTACTCGCAATTTCATTAATCAGTTTTATTCTGACACCGCTATACTATTAGTAAAAGTAGAATTTGCAGGGTCAACCAGCCATCACCCATTCATTAACTCACCTAATGATCATCTGTGAACAATAAAACAATGAGCATGATACCCATGTTTCAAATGACATGATGCTGATCCTCGAACAACTTCATCACGCTGTGTGATCAATCATGAATTGTTTGGGAAACAACATGATATTTCAAGTGTGCACACTGATGCAATCAGTATTCGGATATGAAATGCGTAGAATTCGGTGTGTGGAGAACGTCCCAGTGACAGCTTCAAAATCATTCGCCAACTGGAATTTAAATCTATTGAAATAGAATGAAATGACCTGAACGTTATAGCACTCATTTCCAAACTAGATAATGGGCTTAAAATAACTCAGACCTTATCTAAAATGGAACATATCTCGAATGCCTTATCAAACGCCAATAATTAAAGAAAATGGACACTAGTGTTCACGTTCATTTGGAATCTTGGTATGGAAATACCTATATGCGAATACGCGGTGACCACTAATTCTTAACAATACGAATATGGTTACGTGACATAAAGATTAAGACTGTCACCTATCACAATGATTATTTCATTCTCTTCTGAATTGTTGACGCTGATAATTCCGCACAAATCATGACAATCACATATCCACTGTGGATTAAGCGATTTATTGAAATCTTGCATCTACTGAAAACTATATAAATGCGTCAATTGACTAATTCATCTCAAGAACAAAACGAAAAAACAATGTCAGCTAATTCGATGTTTCTCATTGTTTTATTGTCATACACATTGATAAATCAATTGGGCATAACAAAATCAGATTCATGCAAGTATTGTCTAAGATTGTACGATGGAACGTATGAGAGTGGTCCATATACTGAAGTGTACAAAAGCGTTGGCTCACTCTCACCACCATGGATACCTGGATCTGTTTGTGTACCTTTAATACATGATTCGAAGGGACAGCCTCCATACTGGCGTTTATATGAGTGCGTTACCAGATCGATTCATTTTTATGATTATGTGTAATGTCTATGTTTTTCCTGTTTCATGCACGTCCTAATTTGCTTGTAAGTGGACACTTAAGATGGATATTCAAGCATTTGTGTCACTTTTCATTTCATATTCGTTCACAGAGGCGTCAACTACTCTGGTGCAAACACTGCTATTGGACATGGTTCCTGCATTGACGACTTCAAGAAATCCGGATTGAGAAGGATTTCCTCCATTCAAAAGTGTGTTTATAAGGAAAATGGAACAGTTGAATGTATCAGTGAATCGAAACGTGGAAGGAAATATTGTCGCTACTAATCAAGGAATTTCATGTGCCTATAATTCTTGTGTGCTCTTAACTAAATATATGCATATGAACTCATGAAATCGGTATTCTGAGAGGTTCCAAACAATGTGCAGTGGTCGGCGATCATCGGCACGTTACATTGACGGGTGTACTCGAATAAATATGTGTGAGCGTTTGCTATTTTTGAAGCCGTTATCTGTTCACTTTATCTGCGAACGAAAAACAAGATTGGGTGACCAAAGACCATTAAGCCGTCCATTGATGCGTCTTAGCCCCGCTAACTAGAGTGATATTGCAGTGGAAGATTTTAAACATTTAATCGATAAGTTAGTCAATCGACTGTCACTGAAATATTTTAACATTTAATCTATCAGAATAGTTTAGTTAATTAACAAATATACGATGAAAATAAACGTATAGTTTTGGTCCACAAATGGATCTCAAAAATTATCACTCTTTATTCTTATCCGGGCATAACAACCTTGTTTGGCCGACCATCATACACAGTTCGTGACCCACAGAAGTGCGAAACCCGACTACTTAACACGCTGAACTATGTTCACCGTTACCAGTAAGGCGTCAATTGCAGCCGACATAGCTCGTTTTACTTCTGCTTTGTTGAATACTCTCATTTATATGAAATCCTCGTTGGATATTCGGCCTGACATTATTTATTCGCTTACCGACTATATCCAGTTGTTCCATATACAAGAAACGTATATTCCTATAGATTCTCTTAGTGATGATTCAAGCAATCGTTGAAATGGGACATGAAACATTTATTCTCGTCTCTAAGAAATGATTACGAATAATCATGAGATTTAATTAAATGAATATTCCTAATCATCATAACTATGAAGGTGAATCAAGTGTTATGTCGGTTATACACTAGTGGCATTTGTCGAGTTACTTACTTTTCATTTGTTTCCAAACGTTGCATTCATCTTTCATCAAGAGATTTTCAAAGAATGTATATTGAAGAGATTTCCTACAGATATTCAGTCTTCTTGTGGATATTACTATGAAACAATTATCAACATCATTAATTTAATATTGAATGCAAAGCCCTTAATTATAAAAAAAACGTTTGGGTTCGAAATCAGTGGTGTAGAGGTGATGCGAGAGCGCGAGATCGACGCTTATTTCGGTTGACGATTAAGGTGTTTAGGATTGACTTTGTCTTACGGATATTCTTCCGGAACTGTGAACGCGATACTGGCGATCCAGAGTGTATGTGAAATCTATAGTCAGAACAAGGCATCTTGACCTGAAAATTTACTTGTTTCTAATCGTGAAAACAATTCGACTGGTAAAATAATTAAACAAATTGTGGTGTTTAAATGGAACACAGAAACATGCTGACTAGTACTGCGTTCAAACAACAATTTGATTGATCGTGTATGGTTATAATTATCATGTAGTCATGGATCATCCCCAATATGGATTGCTGAACTCGGATCGCGTCTCCGTTCAATATTTACCAGCTTCCAATACTGAACTCTCCGTGTTCAACTCCATATTTATGATGTGAAAATTGAACGGTCGCCACCAAACTCAACTGAATGATAGTTAAGAATTGTTGTGTCGTAGTTATTTTCATAATAAAAACAATAATCACAACGATATTCATTATGAACAAGAACATTGTGTAAAACACAAAAGTCTATGTATAATGAGTAATAACAACAGTCATTCGATTTCACAGAGGTGAGTGCAAGTCACAATGAAATAGAAGGATGGGACTGATGTTTGTGTGTATCAATGAAATTTCTCTACACAAAATAGTGCATTACCTAATTTTCAGACATGTAGATGAAAGTTGTCTTACTTGAAGATCCTTATCTCTTTACTTTCATTGTTGTGGAAATAAACAGCAATACTTTGTGAAGCAGGTACACTAATTTTTATTGTTAATACATTAAATACATATCCTAGTAGTGTTAATGTCCAAGCTCAACCAATCTACGAAATTAGGCGACCATCTTACATTGTATTGTTGATGCACACTGCTGTGGAGTCCCACAATGGGACGAGACGGCCGTCCAGTGCTTACGGGTTTTCAATCAGCTCAAGATCTCAATAATAATAACTTAATAATCTTCACAATTCTATACGGATCATCCAGATCTATTAAAACCCAAACATTATATGACGTTTCATACTTCTGAATAAAATAGTGTCCACAAGCTAATGTTAAACATTGGGATTTTTAAAGCTTCCGGACAAAATCAAATAGTAATTTTTAATTGGTTATTACGGGAGCATGAAACGTATATTCCCTTACAAGGTCAGTGTACTTATGTGTTCGCCAAAAGAGACATGGATGAAAACTTATGTGTTACCGGTATGCATGTAGACTATGTTTGTACATGTTGCGATGCTTGTGTGCCAATACATGGGAGTAACGATTTTCTCACAAAATCACATCCACGTGATGCATTGTGAGTCTTCGGAAACGGAAACCATTTCCAAAGGAGCAAATGGGCTCCACCAGATAATGCTTGATCAGCCCGAACACAGCTTAGACATCTCTCTGTGTTAATTTTTCAAATAGTATAACTGGATTTAGCATAACTCGTATGATTTCATTCTCAAACAAACAATCAATATATGTGATGTTCCTTCTTATTATTGATTCTTATTCTGAACTCACTGTGTGTGACTACTTGTAATCAGATTGATTAAAGTATTCTCTAGTATTAAACTGATTCTCTATTTCGGATCGCAAATCATGATTCTAATACAACATGATTGGTCTTATAAACGTATTAACGTATCACCATAATATACGTGTAAGGGAGGAAAATAATATTGTAAATCATACGTTATATCACAGTGTATTATTGTTTTAGCTATCAGAGGAATTTCATTCTCAAGATTTGAGTTTTTAAGTTTATATGGCACAATTTATTGATTATTTATATAAATAGAGTTGGAGATACCTCAAAATGAAAAGTACATGAAGATATAATAACTAGTAATTTAGCAATCGAATTCATGAATCAATTGAGGTTAGACCATCATGGAAGACTACCTGGAAACACTGGACGGTCGTTTTATCGTAGTATGAGACTTTTCATCAGTGCACATCCACGATCTCACTTCACGAGATTCAAACCCAGGTCTTATCGATCTCGCATGTGAATGCTTAACCTTTAGACCATTGAACCAGCTAGCATCCAATGGTATTAATGTTTAACGTCATCTAATCCATATAACTAGACTAACATATACCAGTTCAAAGTAATCATTTCACTGATAACTTCATATCAAAATACCGCCAATTTAATTTTAAATCATTAATAGATTTATCTTGAATCATTGAAATGTTTTCAGATGATGCCCAACATGGAAAAGTAAACTCCTGTTTAAAATGTTTATTATGTATACAAGCCAAATCTAATCTAAACATGTCAACATCTATGAATAAATCATTGAACCCATCGAATCATCCACCATTATTAATGACATCATGTCATGTTGGACAAATCATTGAACCGAATACAACATTCATGAATTATTCTACACAAATTGATGATAGTTTAACAGAATCTGTTTTATTATATCATAATAAATCGGGACATTATACACAGAATGAAAATAATCATTTATTACCACCTGTGAATAGTAATATGATGTTACCAAATCTATTTCAACCAACTACATCCATTCTACCATTATCAACAACACATAGTACCAATGTTTCATATATATCAACAACTCCAACATTTCATCATTTAATTAGTAATTCAACTACAATGAATCCAGATGATTTATTCAAATATCATAAACAGAATGGTCAAAGTAGTTCTGGTGTTTCATTAGAATCAGATCCAACATCAACGAAACGAACAAATTTATTTCATTCACAATCGGTTAATTATTCTAAACAATCCAGTTATCATCATAATCATAATCATCCACTATTGTCTGAATGTTCTTTTCAAAATGGTAGTATTACTATACCTGGTCAAAATGGTAGTTTAAATGGATCATTATTATATTCAAATGATTCAACAAGTTTAACTGATACAACAAATGGGAATGGTGTAATTATACCAAATCATATCATTGTATCACCAAATCCTTATTCAACTTATCGTATGCAATATTTATGTACAGGTGAACAATCTGATAAATTGACAAGAAAAGTTGATCTTCAACAACAATTGAAACAACATCATCCATTTACACAATCAAATAGTAATACCAATAGTATATATCAACGTAATTCTTCACAATCTACTCATCAAAAAGATCGTCAATCATGTATCAACATTGAATTATCTCATTCAAATGATATTGAAAATGATGAAACATGTCATTTAATCACAGAAAAACGAACTCATCAAGATCTAACGAATTATACATTTAGAAATAGTACTACCATTGATTCTTTATCACATAATACTACTGATCATTCAATCAATCAATTATCATCATGTCTTACACCATTAGTAGTTAGATTTCCATCTGGTGAATCCGGATTTTTATTTTGTCCAACTCATACAACAATGAATGAACATTATCAAACGGATAGTTTATCATCATGTCAATCAAATCGTTTATCCATGATCTCTAATCCTATTCATAAATCAATGAATATCGATTCAAAAGAAAATGATACATTATTAAATTCAAATATAAAAATCAATACGAATTGTAGCCAAGGTAATTTGGAGGGTAATTTAAAATTAGAAAATTCTATTGAATTAAATCAAATATCTGATAAATTACATCAATCATTGGTTAAAACTAATCAACATTTGATTTCATTGGAAATCGATAATAATAATAATGATAATCATGAAAAATTAAATACATTAAAAAATTCAAATAATTCACTGATCAATTCAGAAACATCATTGATTAAATCGAATGAGAAATTAGAAATAATCAATATTCAAACCTCATTACATAATAATAATAATATACATCAACAGTGTGAATTTCATCAATTCAATGATAGTTCTAATAATCGATTACATAATCAAAATGATATTCAGGAATTAAATATTAATCCTACTATATATCCGGTGCATTAATAACTAACTATGTAACTTTTAATGTATATTATATTGTATTGTATTAACTTATATTTCTTGTTGATTGAGATCATGAACTGATTGATGTTAGACTACCATTGAAAACCTGAAAGCACTGGATCGCCGTTTCGTCCTATTGTGGGACTCCTCCTTGACAGTACACATCCACGATTGGTTGAGGTTAGACGCTAACACCGTTGGATGCCGGCTCAGTGGACCAGTAGGTTAAGCGTTTGCGAGCGAGACTGAGGGCCCTGAGTTCGAATCCCGTGGGTGGGATCATGGATGCGCACTGTTGAGGAGTCCCATAATAGGGAGGAACGGCCGTCCAGTACTTCCGGGTTTTCAATGGTGGTCTAACATCAATCGGTTCATAATCGCAATCAAGAACTTAACAATCTCCACAACCCCTAAACTTATATTTCTTGATTGATATGTAATTATAACTTTATTTAGAAATTCTTATTTATATCAGAAGGGTTTTTTGTTTGTTTGTTTGCTTGTAGATATTACAGTAATTTTAATAGTTGAAATCATGAATCAATTGAAGCTAAACTATTATTAGGGAAAATTTGGAAATACTAGATAGCTGTTTCGTCTTATGATGGGGTTGTTTAACGGTTAAGAAGTTAAACGTTAGTGTACGAGACTAATAAGTCTTGAGTGTGTGGTTTCCCATCGTTGTAGACGGCTTGCTGTATAAACATGTATACCCTTCTTGGATCCAAAAACTGCCAGTTGAGGCTTTTGGTCTGTTAGTAAAGTAAACTGTCTGCGAAATTGCGTCATGTGAAACGTTCTTGCAGCAAAGATAATGGAGAGGGCTTCCTTCTCTATCTCACTACAACTCCTTCCTGTCTTTGTTAGTGATCGTGCAGCGTGGACAATTGCTTTCTCAGATCCAACGGGGTGGATATATGAAACCACTGCCCCAATTCCATAATTTGATGCATTTACTGCTACCACAATAAGAATGGCTGGATCATAGTGTATAAATAAAAGATTTGACGATAGGAGCTACTTTGGTTTTAGGAATGATTCTTCAAACGCTGTTGACCAGATCCATTTGGTATTCTTTGCTAGTAAACAATTCAACTGGGTACACTGACGCTGAAGATCAGGAAGAAACGTTCAATAATGACTAACTAATCTACAAAAAGACTGTCGAGTGGGCACGATTTTTTATAGCTCCTATATTCTCTGAGTCTGGTCGTATTCCATCATTATCTGTTATGAAACCAAGGTATCACACCTGTTGCATGAAAACATCATACGTTTAATTACAGAGGTAAAAAGCATACACAACTATACTTGCTAGCATCTAGGCAATAGTCTTCTATAAGCCATTTTGTCTGCTCGCATGATTATTATATCAGCCAAATGAGACGCCGCTCCTGGAATATTCTTTACCTTGACATCCATAATTTACTGGATTCCATCTTTACTTCAAACGCCAGTTGGCTATATCAAAACAGACCCTTGTGTGTGTTGATCGTTAGGAGATCTTTACTTTCATCCGCTACAGGAATGTGTAAATAGCTGCCCGATAAATCCAATTTTGCAAATTACTTGCCACCATTCAGCTTGGCGAAGTGATCTTCAGGTTAAGGTAAGGATTTCTGGTAAGATTCTAGAGCTTCATTTAGTCCGGCAGTGTAATCTGTACATAAGTGAACGCTACCGTTTAATTTATTGACAACCAATATCGGTGCAGCCAAAACTGAGAAGTTCACAAGTTTGATAGCATTCATTTTCTGTAGCTGTTCTAGTTTCCACTCAACTTCTGGGAGAGCAGCATTATGTACGGTTCTTTAAGGTCTAAAAATGTGAATAGCTCCAGATTCGATGGTTAGTAATGCTTTACTTTCGTAAATTTTGTAAACATGTTGTGATATCTTTGTAACGTGGAGATTTTCTGGTTCATCTTTAAGGAGTTATCAGTTATGACGTGGCTGTAGGTCTTTTTAATCGAATGATCTACCAGTTCTAGTGCCTCTATCAGATAAGATCACAATAGATCAAATGCTGGATACTGTGTAAGGTGTATTGTCGCACTGGTTGTTGCAGTAGCGTAAGAAACAATGCAGGATATGTCTCCAACAACATTTAGCTTTCCACCAGATGCACTATGTGTGCTAGTTGCGTCGTCGAGCGAACTATGGGTCATGTGTCTCAATGCAGTCTCCAATTTCTTAGCATGCTGATATCAAAACAAGAATTTTAAGTAAAATTGAACAGTGTTCGTACATAACTATAGAAGAAGTAACCACGACGTGCTAGAGATTGGTATTCTTGAAACATGATGCTTCCAAAGTTGAAAATAGTAGCCGGCCAATATGGCTACTATTTTCAACTTTGGAAGCATCATGTTTCAAGAATACCAATCTCTAGCACGTCGTGGTTACTTCTTCTATAGTTATGTTCGAACACTGTTCAATTTTACTTAAAATTCTTGTTTTGATATCAGCATGCTCAGAGATTGGAGACTGCATACAGACACATGACACTTATGTGGTCTGTCACTGCTACTATCTTTAATCGCTCTCATTCGTGATTTACTAAACACACATGCTTTACTCAGCAATCATCACCGGCTCTTGTTATCTTGAGGCACTGATAACGGATGTTAAACATAGATGACTGTTGAGCAAAGATTTGCGAAAAGATATCAACTTTTGCATTAAACGCAAAAAGTTGGGTTCTTTGGAAGGACGAAATTATTCAGCGCATACATTACTTGTGTTGCAGTTGTAATATCAACGTTCTTGAATACAATAAAATGCAATGTAATAACTATCGTCAACTGCGAAATTTGAAACTAGTGGACGATCAGTAGCACATGAATTCGTTTATTCAACAACTGGAACGATTGAAATTACAACTGAAACTTTCATCATATATTCTCGTAAACTCGGGGTTCCAAATAAGAAATGCAGATCCCATGTGATACAGCCACAAACGAGGTCACAATATGGTGATACTGGTGCCAGAAAACGTAATGTTGACACGACCAACGAAGATAAATGGTTTAACACCCCATGTCTTCTGATAGCTCGTAACTCAACTACTGAGAATAATGTACTGATGACTCACCAGAGGATAAGCGCTGGAAATCATATAAAATGAAACTTTTAAGATGACTTCTTACTATTGTAATCAATCTGCCAACAATTAGAAATTAGAATAGACACGTCTATTATTGTACTACTAACATTGTCATTACTATGGTAAGAAAACATTGTGTTCAAGGTTAGTTACGCACTGACGACAATGGAGGATGGTGACACAATGTTGTGGATCATCTTGAATCACACATGCTGACTAAGTGGTCTAGAGATTGGGTGTGTAGGTGCGATGCTGACGGTCTATGGTTTGGGTCCCCTATGGGACGTCGTTGGTGAGCGTTGATGAGACGGAGTGGCCTTCCATTGCTCTCAAATTTCCAGTGGTGGTCTAATAGTGATCGGTTCATGAACTCAAATAAAAGTGTCTGTTTGTTCGTTGGTTATCAAAATCATAGGAAAATTGAATATTTTGAATCAGTCGATTCTATCAGTATTCCTCACAGGAGGTATCTGAATATTTCATCATACTAATGAATATAGAAGTTCATTTTGAACAACGAACTTAGATTTATTTGTAAATAAATAAGAGTTTCGGAAGTCAACTGGGATTTATTCACTATATTCTCCTGATAAAAATAAAAAACAAGTTTAGTACCTTTTAAATCTATCGAAGTGTCTAATAACAAGACTGAGATATGCGCAAAATCAAATTTCATATAACAGTGATTTGTATAAATAGCGATTCTTCATTGGGTAATAAACACAAATTAGTTACAATTCTCCATTCGTGAAGTATCTGTGATGCTTAGAGAGCCCATAAATTTGGAAGAAAAAGGGCTCCTTGCAATAAAAAAAACACGGAATAGTTATAACTTATGACAGTGTAAATGACAGATGATAGTTGTGTCTAATTTTGATAACAGTTCATCAACAAGCAAAATGGGAAACAAAAGCAGACAAATATAGAGACCGTTGCATTTAAACAATTTCCGCTTTCCAAACAGATGATCATATGATACTTACGACACTCTTTCACCATGCTATCAGATGAAAACTTCAATCACTCTCTGTTCTCGTTCTCTTCAATACGATCTTCTTAACCTTCTATCTCCAGGTATTTCACTTTAGAATGATGATACATGTTACTTATATAGATCGACACCAGTAGTACATGTCACAGATGTAGAGGAGAAGGATCAATTAAACTGACCATTTCATTTGAAGCCACCATATAACCGTTAATATCTGTAACGTTAACAAATGTTAAGGAAACAGAAGTTTATTTATTTAAGATATTCGTCAACATCATGGAGAAAATCACGTTTGATTTGTGATATTTTTTTCTCAGCATTTACAAACGTTGCACGACAAGCGATTATCATCTTTGTGGTTTTCTCAGAGTTCAGTGAAACAATACTTGCTTCATTTAAACACTGATCGAACAGATTTGAAATTAGTGCTATATATTTTGCGAATACGTTTACAAAATCATCGATCGGTGTATAAACGACCGAAACTCAGGTAACTAATAGATCTTCAGCTTGTTGAGCTTTTTGAATTAACTTGCGCTCATATAAAAACAGTCATGGTTGATGAGTAAATCATTAACAAAATCAAAACGTAGCTCAAGAAGAATGGATAGATTCTCCTGTTTGGAATCTAGAATAAGCTATGCGGTTTAACATTGCAACGGATACTACACAATCATACTGTGGTAGTATATGACACGAGTTAAAAACGCATTGTGTAGCAGCAGACGATGAGGGAAAATGAAGAAAAGAAGGACCGGAACACAATGCAATTTGTAAGAAAACGCATGAACTATGAGATGTGACACAATGGATTGATGTTTGCTACAGGAACAGTCCAGGTTGCTATGATGGATTAATATTTCGCAAATTAACGATTTACTATGTGGTTTTTCTATTTCACCGT